TGAAGGTGTCAGATCCCCTGGAACTGGATTTTCAGACAGTTGTGAGCTGCCATGTGGGTGCTGGAAATTGAACCCCGGTCCTCTGGAAGAGCAGTCAGTGCTCTTAACCGCTGAGCCATTTCTCCAGCCCTACTTGTAACTTTTTATTGGTTGTGTTATTAATTAATAAGTTGAATAAAATATTTGATATATGTTTATTTGTATGAGCATCATGATTTTACCTCTAAAAACATGTGTGTGTGTGTGTGTGTCTGTCTGTCTGCCCTCTGATTTAGAGTTAGAGACCTTGGTTCAGTCCCAAGAGTCACAAAACATATCAGGCTGGTTTTTACCCTTTAAGAGGACAAATGCAAAATTCGCCCCATCTTCCCTTCTTGAGCAGGACTGTCTGCAGGTACCAGCATCTGCTGCTAAGTTCTAGAACCACTGAGACCAGTTCCATTAGTGCACCCTAGTGTAGAGAAGTGCAAGGCCAAGGAGCCTGGACAGAATTTCAAGCTAGTGCTAGAAGGGTCTGAGTTACAGTGGCTCATCCTAAATGACAAGGTGCAAAGCTCAAATGTCCATTTACTAAATCATGTCCCCCAAATAGTTGCTTTCCCATACTAGATCTCAGGAGAGAATGACAGCTGCCATTAGTAGCCTTACTACTAATTAGCCAGGGGCCTCTTTCTTTCCCTTTCCTTTAGCTGAGCTAAGTTACAATGACCACAAGAGAAACATTACATGTAAAACTTTAGAGCTGCACTTTTTGTAGCCTTCAGCTAGAGGTAAAACTCAGCTTCCAGGTGCCAGTCTTCTTATGGAAATAGTCCTTCTTTCCTGGAACCAGCTCCAACTGTAATAGTAATAACAACAACAACAAAGTAACATTTTTAAAAGCATGATTCAGGATAGTCTGGAGCTTTGAAAAAATGAAGTCCTCTATCTTTAATCCTTTAGGACTCTTTTGAATGACTTTAAGGACCAACATTTATAGCTAATACAAAGCTGGAAAAGGCAGTTTTACCAGGAGCCAAAAGATTTCCTTCAGTTGATTAAATGAATCTGAAAGGGGGAAAAAATACAAAAATTGAACACTGGAGTTGAGCCAAAGTCCTCCAAAATTCTACTGAATGTAAGACAGGAAACTAGTATTTATTGACTGTTACCATGTGTCAATCATTATGTCCCTACTGATATGTGCCAAATCTTAGTTGTAGTGACTGTAAAGGATGCAAAGGGGTTAATTATCATTAAAGCACCTAGTGGCCTTTTTAAAAATAAGGATCAGAAATGGCATACACACTTTGATATTATATAATAGGCACTCAATAAATCTTGGTTCCTATTGGCTTATAATGAATGCTTTGGAGTTTTGTAATGTAACAGGTTTTATAAATATATAAAACCCCAGGTCAGAGCTTTGGTACAGAGGGAGGAAGGGCAGCAAGGCAGCTTACTGTCTAAAGGAGCTTGCTGCCAAGCCTAATAATCTTACTGGTAATCTTAATGCCATCCTCAGAAACCACATGGTGAAAGAAAAGAACCAACTCCCCCCAGTTGTCTTCTGACCTCCACACATGCATGGACATGCACAAAACACACACAGAGAGAAAGTGAAAAGGGAGGTATAAATAAATTAAAATGTTGAATTCCAAGAAGTATGGGGATGCTTGAAGAAACCTATAATCTTTAATATTTAGTAATTCTTTTATCTTGATGTAAAATGGAGATACAGATAATAGTCTCTACTTAATTGTAGGGAAAAAAATGAGTTCACTTTTTATGGCCCTAAAAAGAGACAAAAACTTTCTCTTTCTAGACTCATTTTTAAATAAAGTAATTGTTTTTTAGTTTTTATTTCTTTGTTTATTATATGTGTGTATGTATTCATGTGCCATGGCATGTGTGTGGGGAGCAGAGGAAAGCTTTCCTGGGAGTTGTATTAGTCTGGGTTCTCTAGAAGAACAGGAGACATTGAGTGGATCTCTCTACATAGGATGAGTATAGTAATCGGCAGTGGTGGCACTAATCCCAGCACTCGGAAGCCAGAGGCAGGCAGATCTCTGTGAGTTCAAGGACAGACAGTCTGATCTACAGTGTGAGTTCCAGGAAAGAAAGAAAGAGTATGTCTAACAAGCTTTTGGTCCAGTTAACCCAACAATGGCTGCCCACTAATAGAAGGTTCAAGAATCCAGTAGTTGTTCAGTCCATGAAGGTAGATGTCTCAACTGGTCTTCAGTATACTTCAGAATCCCAAAGAAGTAGGTTTTAATGGCAGTGAAGGAATCGACCAAGAGCAAAGAGAGCACAAGCTTCCTTTTTCCATGTCCTTTGCATAGGCTACCAGCAGAAGGTGTGGGCCAGACTGAAAGTGGATCTTCCCACCCCAAAGATCTGGATTAGAGGGAGGTCTTTCTACTTCAAATGCTTTAATTAAGAAAAAGCCCCTCACAGGTGTGCCCAGCCACTTGGGTTTTAGTTAATTTCAGATGTGATCAAGTTGACAACCAAGAATACCCATCACAGGAGTCAGCTTTCCACCATGGGGCTTCGGATACAGCCTTAAGTACCCATACCCACGGAGCCAGCTCACCCACCCTCATCAAACTGTGGATCTTCATGGCTACAAAAAGCTTGGCAACAGTTAAAAAACTTCTGACTGATCAATGATCAAAACTAATTCAAATCAAATGCAATGAATCTGAGGCATTTTTAGCAGATCTTGCCCGTGTTGCATCTCAGTTCCACTGCAGATTTGATCCTGAACACATGTATTCTCCCCTATTTGAAACATCATGCTAAGTCATGCCAATGTATCCTTCCAACTACCTCAGCTGGGTTTTAAACTATTAAATGTTGGGATGTAGACTGTCTCTTAGTATCCAGGCAACGTTATCAGCTCCTGTAGAAAAATAAGAGCTTAGCCCTAGAAAAGATCTAGACTTTCATATTTCCTAATTTTATTCTTCAGCGTAAGTATCAAATTGTTTTGTCTCTGCATTATATTATGCTAGAATCATTTTTTAAACTTCCATTTTAGTTGCTGACTTAAATTTCATTTAAAAAAATATCAAATAGCCAGGCGATGGTGGTGTGCGCCTTTAATCCCAGCACTCGGGGGCAGAGACAGGCGGATCTCTGTGAGTTCGAGACCAGCCTGGTCTACAAGAGCTAGTTCCAGGACAGGCTCCAAAGCCACAGAGAAACCCTGTCTGGAAAAAAAACCAAAAAAAAAAATATATCAAATAATTTTGGGTTAGGATGAGGAGAGAATTTCAGTGGCTCTCGACTAGAACTTAAGATTTGGCCTTTCTGTGTAGCTAATATGACAGCGCACATCAACAAGTGTAGTTTTAAAGGTACAAGGACTATGGAGGGGATGGGGTTAAGAGTGAGTGCTTACTCAGGGGACGTGAGTTCACTTCCTAGCTCCCATGTCAGGTGGCTGCTCACAACTCCCTGTAAGTTCAGCTCCAGAGAAACTGACACCCTCTTCTACTCTCCACCGGCACCTGCACGCCCATGCACACAGACCCACAGACATATGCATGCATACACATAACAGACAAATATTAAATAAATATTAAATAAAATCTTTTAATAAATGAACATGGAAATCAGGGTGTGATGGTAAGTGTCTGTCATTACCAAAACCAGAAATCAGGAGGCTAAAGCAGAAGATTTTAGGTTTGAACCCATCCTTGGTTACACAGTGAGGCTGTGTCTGAAAATACCAAAAAAAAAAAAAAAAAGAAAGAAAAGAAAAGAAAACAAAAACGAAAAAGTGGACAGAGGGTGATTAGTAAAGAGGAACACTATCCAACATTTTAAGAAAGTCTAAAGCATACCTAGAAATTCAGACACTAATACATCCTCCTTAAATTTATTTAAAATAATTCTGAGAAATAACATTATTTCTCAGCACAAGGTGGGACTGAGAATCTGGGGTTCTAGCTCCTACAGGAAATTCCAAAACAGAAGCTTGGTGTAGACACTGTGTGTGGAAAACCCATATCCCCATATCCATATCCACAGAATGGTGGCAACAGCTCACTCTAACCAGGAGGTTAAGTGTTCCGTAAGTGTCGGGGTCCGGTGCTAATGCAGACCCTCAATTATTTCTCTCAACTGGACCCTAACATAAACTGTTTTTCTCTGGATCAGCGTGGAGACACAGGAATAAAGACACAACTCACATGGCTTTATCAGGAGAGAGATTCTCAGTGGTCTCTCATGAAATCCTGAGTTCACATCCTGAAGAATTTTTTCGTTTATTCTCCAAATATTCTTAATACCATAACTTACCTGACAGTGAAATACATTAGCATTCTGTCTCCTAGGTAACCAGGTGAATGGCCTTTTGTCATGTCCACAACTATCTGTCTGCTCTGTATGTTATTACAAAGAAAGAATAAAAACATCCTGACCTTTTGTTAGGTTAGCGACAGCCTGCCTGGCAGGATATGTGACCCATCTCAAGTGTGGCCTATGGCTTGATGACTTGGCTGCCATGCCATATAGAAATATGGGCCTACAGGTAAGATTTAAAACAAGCAGTGTAGAAAGTGTAGAGATGAACCTACTCACGGGTTTTTGTTTTCTTTCGTTTGTTTTTGAGAAAAAGATAAATGTAAAAAAGCAGACAGAGAGATAAGACCTTGATAGCAGGCGGGCTTGAACCCTCCTGATTACTCAGCCAATGAGGAAGCGGAGAAAGGACCTGTGTCCAGAACGACAAAGGTTGTTCTTTGCACAGCTCACAACAAACTGCCTTACTCTCGCTGTTCTGAGGCCCTCGTGCTCTGATCGTGACATGAAGATCTCTGTTCTGCAGAGTACGACCTTTGGTCTTCCCGCTTGCTGGGATTGCACATGCACTGCCCTGTCGAGCAGGGTTTCCAAGGCAGTGCTTTCACATGAAAGATGGCGATTGTGACGGAAAATGTTAGCTGACCCTGAATGAGATCTCCTTCTTCTTAGAACAATTTTTACTCAAAATAAAAAGAAACCTGTGTTTGCTTTGGTAGCATGCCTACTAAAGTTGGAACGATACAAAGATGATTAGCATGGCCTCTGTGCAAAAAGGACATGCAAATTCATGAACTATTTCACTTTTTTCTAAAATATATAAAGAACTTTTTAAAAACTGGACATCAAGAAAACAAATAAACCTTTTCTCTCCCCAGGCTTTGTGGGAGCCTAGCCAGTTTGGATGTTCACCTTCCTAGATATGGACGGAGGGGGGAGGACCTAGGACTTAACACAGGGCAGGGAACCCGGACTGCTCTGTGGACTGGAGAGGGAGGGGGAGAGGAGTGAGGGGAGGGGGAGAAGGGTGGGAGGAGGGGGAGAAGGGTGGGAGGAGGGGGAGAAGGGTGGGAGGAGGGGAAGGGAAATGGGAGGCTGGGAGGAGGTGGAAACTTGTTTTTTGTTTATGTTTTTTTTTCTTCTTTTCGCAATAAAAAAAAAAGAAAACAAATAAAAAAATCAGGTGCGGATCTAAACAGAGCATTCTCTAAAGAGAAAACACAAATAGCTGAGAAGCACTCAAAGAAATGTTCAACATTCTTAGCCATCAGGAAAAAGCAAATCAAAACTACTTTGAGATTTCACCTTTCATCTCTGTGAGTCATCTCTCCAACCCCAGAACTTCTATTTTTATCTGGATAGTATTTCTCAGCCTTTCTTAAAGATGGTTATGACCATGTGCCTGAATTCTGGCCAAGAAATCATGGAACCCTTACATGGAAGTATAGAATACATTAACAGCTTCTCCCATAGGTGGTTATTCATTGTGCCTCCCTTCTCGGTCTCTAATTATCAGCCATGGTCTCTAGCTGTGACTTCGACCATTATTGACTGGAAACTTTGCCCTTTCCTTCCTAGAGCTTACCTGCCTTTCCTGTGGGAGTGAGGAGTATCTGCTCCTCCGAGCACCTGCTGATGGGGTCCCCAGATACACCAAGAAGCCACGATTCTATTGAGCATCATTGGAGCTGACTAGGTTCATAGCCTGCCCTTGCTAACTGGTCACCCCTCTGTAAGACTCGCTGTGGGACTGGAATCCAGCTCAGAACCTCAGCAAGCTTGAGGAACCTCACTGTCTCCTGGCTGACCTTCTTTCCAGGGTCTCAATGTGGTATGCCTTTCTTCAAAAACACATCTCTGTTTTGTAGTCCCTAAAATACTGCCAACTAGGAATTGTACACTCTATCTCTTCAAATCAAATCACCCTTGGCTACTGACCCCCACATAAGACAGTCTGAATTTGGTCATATGCCGCCTTGCCAATCCTCAAGCTGTTACACCTTCCGAACAGTAAGACACTCCATTACACTGTTGTTATACACTCCCCTACAGAGTAACAGGAGTATGCTGTTGTCAGTAGAGCCCTTCACATTTAGTTACATATCTGTCTTGACTCAAAATATCTGCTTTCCTAGTAAAGTCATTCTGTGATAGAAAGAAAAAGAAGTAGGGACAGAAAGCCTTTTTTTTTTTTTTTTTGAAAATTAGAATTCACCCTAGGAGTCCAGTTTAAGAGCACTAAGTTTTTATATGCACTGAAGCAAGTAAATTTGTTTTTGATTGATCATATAGACATAAAGGGGCTATACAACATCAACTAATTTCATTAGTGACAATGAAGAGCAGGCTTTAAATGTGACTTCCCAGGGATGGCTCACAAGGAAAGCTAGTCCAGCGAAGAGGGAAGTAGGAGAGCTTGCTACAATTTCATGCTCCACAATCGAGTGTGGAAATCCAATGGAGAAGTAAATTATTCTTTGCAAGTTTGCTACTGGAATTAAAGACACATGAGTAATGTGGAATTCGTAAGAGCAAAGGGTGCAAGTGCATTTGGGCTATTCATGCCGTCTCTGGCCAACCCTTCCAAGACTCTGCAAAAGAGAAGGAAGGGAAACATGAAATTGCCTAGGAACACATGAGTGTCTTGTGGGTGTTAAGGTAAAATCATTATTAATTCTGGAACCAGACAGAGAAGAGTAAGCAGCAGGGGGAAAAGGCTAGATTCCTTTGTGCCGATCCAACATGCACCCTGCCCTACAGGGAGACCTGCTCTTCCTTATTCTTCCGTAGAGTTAAACACTGATGCTTTCTGCCTTTTAAACTTGGGGTGTGCCTCGAGTACAGCAAGCAGGTGATGGTTTTCACTTGTCTGTCTCCCAGGAAAGTTTCATAGAGTCAGGGCCTAAGTGCAGTGTCTAGCATGGGGCCTGCCAATGTGATTTGAATGAATAAAGTAATTAATTTCATTCCATAAATGAGTACAAGTGAAGTCTAAATTTCCCAGAAAATGACACAGAAAGAAGCTGGTTATGGCAAAGCTAAAACCCACTTCGTTTGATCTTTTCTGCAAGACAAAAATATAGCAGGTCGAATCATCTCTCTGTGATTTTTAGAAGCATGTTATTTTAGGAATATGATTCACGGGGGGATAAAGACCACATTCGTGTAAAATGTCTGTGAGTGTTGTAAAGTTCTGTGGTATTTTGACTATTCCTTCTTTCTACTTGAAATCTGTATCTTGAAATCAATTCATATTATTTAGGGTTCTCCAGAGGGAATGCATGAATCATCTTTCTATCACCTATTATTTATTATCTATCCAACCATTATCTATCATTTGTATATCTTCCTGTCATCTGCTATCTGTCTATCTATCATTTAGCCAAAGAAATTTATTATAAGGGATTGGTTTATGTAATTTTTGAGACTGGTAAGTACAAGTCTACAGTATGAACCAGTCAGCAGAGAGCAAGGTGATACCATAAATTCCTAAGGCAGTCTACTGGAGAACTTCCTCCTGTTGCGAGGTCTTTCCCTTCCATTGTCTTCTATGCAAGTCTCACACTTATTGGACAGGCTTATCCAAACTGTACAGTGCAACCTGCTTTATTCCACCAATTAAAATGTTGATCTTTTTGACACTGACATCATGGGCAATTCATATGTTGAAAAAAAACAGACAAATGGCTGTGGGTTGTAGAGACTGTGTGTGTACTGATCATCTCTATTCGCCTCTGCCTAGAGCCATTGACCTTGATCTAGAACTGTTTCCGAGTGACTGGATGGGGCACACCTGTGTTGTGGAGGAAAACTACTTTATTTAAAGGTCACTCATGTCCAGGAATAAATGAGAAATTATGGGGGGGGAGGGACTTGGATCTGTAAAATTTTACCGCTACAAGGTGACTACAAGCATAATATCTGCTTCCTGTAGTAATGATATTATGCACAGCTGTTTAAAAGGTCTTAGTTTCAAAGATAAAAATGTTTAAAATAAAAAAGCTAAAAGTAAAAAATAAGAATGTTAAAAACAAAAAAAAATAAATAAAATGTTGATCTTGTCTAAAAACACCATTGAAGCAGCACTCAGATTCCCATTTGACCATTAAATACAAAAGGAACTGTGCCAGCATTCTTGTGGCAAGGTCTCTATAGACCATTTATTGTTTATCACTCTGCTTGGCAGTGTCTGAAGGAAACAACGAAGCTGGATAGTACTTGGGCATTAGGAAGCTCTCGTTTTAAGCATGTGACTGGTGTATTCTATTTTCATGCGCCTCAAAACTTCCACTTCCAATGTGAGATTAGAAATGACGTCAAAATAACAAACAGCCAAATTTTTAGTCATACTTTTGATGTATAGTACACCGGGGAAAACTATACATGGAGCTGGGCATGGTGTTGCATTCCTGTAATCTTAGCATTCAGAAGCAGAGGAAGGAAGACTGACAGGGGTTTGAAGCCATCCAGAACTACACAGTGAGACCCTGTCTTTAAATAAAAGATCCCAAAATATTATAAGGTCTTGCTATTCCTCTTGGTGGCCCACCAGAACTGGATGCTAAGACCTACTGATGAAGACAACACACACCTTGCTTTTTTAAGATGCAAAGAAATCACGCTGGAACTGAGCTGGGAGCTGCTTCCTTGCTGGTTAGCTTTCACAGTGGTGGAAGGTGCTATGCAGGCTGCTGGGGTAGAAAAGCAATCAATGGTCTTACCAAGTTGTGAGCCTTGCTAGCTCTATTACCAACCTGTACCATCTTGTCTAGATGTGCCCACTGGTACAACAGAGCCTAACTCTTAAGAGTGTAACCAACTATGAGCTGCACAACTCTTTGATTGGATTTGAAACCTATTCCACGAGGGGGAGAATTTATGGCTGGCACTCAGTCAAAACCTCACGGTTGAGGTGCGCTTAGGTCCCAAGAGTTGTTTAGCTAAATTGACATAGCGTCAAACGACTTTCTAAATATTTATGCTTACGTACATGGGCAATACTCCTGCTAGAGTTAATCGGAGAAGCTTCTCTTTGCAATGAACAGTGGCGAACGCAATGTGTCTACATGACCATTTAATGTACTGAGAATAAGTGTTGTGTGCTCAACTCCAAACAGGACATTAATCCCATCCCCTGTAAATTTTAGGCATCACTGCAGAAGCGAGAAATGACGTGGGAGCTGAAGATAAGAGAAGGGCAGTGAATCGCTATTGGGCTGGCTAATTTCGGCCAAGCTGATACAAACTAGAGTCACTTGGGCCCACAGAACGGAACTGAGAAAATGCCTCCATCCGATTGGCCAGTAGGCATATGTGGGTGGCGTTTTCCGGATTGTTAATTGATGTGGGAGGGCTCAGTCCACTGTCGGTGCCATTCCTGGGAAGGTGGACCCAGAACATACAGGAAAGGTAGTTGAACACAAGCCTAAGAGAAAACCAGGAAGCAGATTTGCTCCGTGCGTTCTACTTCTGCTCCTGTTTGAGTTCCGACCCTGACTTCTCGGAATGACCAGCCGTGATCAAGACATGTGTGCCAAATAAAGCCTTTCCTCTCCAAGTTGTTTTTGGGCAGGGCTTTATCACAGAAATAGGACGAAAGCTAGAACAGCTATCTGCTGGAGATGTGACTGCCGGTGTAGTCACGGTTCCACAGCAGCTGTGGCCGTCTGCAAAGGGCCCGCTAAGACTGCATACGTCGAGCATGATGGAGCCCTAACCCTTCTCTCACTGCTGAATCACGGGCTAATGATGGCTTCTGGAGGAGGGCAAGTCATTGTCTTCTGTCGTGGACCCACAACGCTGGGCTCCAG